GGCCCCCACCTGAGCAGGTGCAGCTCATGGAGGCCCCAGGCCAGGGAAGGGCTGCTCCTCCCCCCCGCCCTCTAGCGGACACGAGGCGGACCTCCCCTCGTACGCACAGGCAGCGTGCGCTGCTGTGTGCGTGCGTGTGTGTCACACGTGAGTGTGTGTGCCCGACCGGCACGCAGCGTGCTAACTGCCGTCGCGTTACCCACTGTCGGGTGGAGGTAAATGTCGATTTGTTTCTCAGTTTAATTTTAGCCCGTGGAAAGAGCAAAGCATCCCAGTCAGAACGACGGGACAAGTCACACTCTGCCACTCACCACCGGGACCCGACGCTGGACGAGCAGCCTCGCCCCCAGCCCTCGCTCCCTCCTTGGGGAAACGGGGCCAGCCCTCTTACCTTGCAGGGTCCGTCACCCCTTTGTGTAGGCTCCTGGGCCTCCCTCGGCCTCCTGGGGATGGGCGGCCTCCAGCTCCGGCCCATCCACCCGCCCTCAGCCCCCGGCCCTGTCCAGGTCTCGGTGGTCGGCACCTGCTGCCGTCGACACTGTTTTTAACGTTAACTTTTTCCATCACGTGGCTCAGATTCTTAACAGTCACCAGGCTGGGTTAAAAAGAAAGGAGATGAGAAATGAGAAAAGACCTTTCTTGCTTTGCAACAGTCAATTGAGTTTTACGTTATTATATTCAGAAATAAATAAATTCCACCCAAAGATTATTAAAGAAATTGCTGCTTTTAGGTGTTCTCTAAAATCTCATCAGCTAAATTTTACAGATGACCACGCAGTTTTTAAGTCTGATTTTATGGATTATAAAAGTTAAGGCCACTTTAAAAAATGTTTATGGCAGTGTGAGCGTTTTGGTAGGGAAGGCTGGTTAATGAATCTACTTCACATCGGTTTCTTATTCAAACTGGGTAAATTAATTGACACCCGTGCTCAGTGTAAACGTTTTATTCAGAGTTTTCTACCCGAACCGCATGCGTGTGGCATTTCTCACTCAAGCCCAAAAGTCCCGTCTGCAGCTGTGCCAAACTGAACAAGGTGGATCCCATCTGAGCTCGGAAGCTAAGCAGGGTCGGGCCTGGTTAGTACTTGGATGGGAGACCACCTAGGAAGACCAGGTGCTGTAGGCGTTCAAAACGTCCATGTCCGTCATATGCCACAAGAGCAATAGTGGCTTTGGCATATTTTCTGCCTTCTAAATCTCTCTGGTTTACGGCCACGCCACCCTGAGCAAGCCCGATCCCATCTGATCTCGGCAGCTCTAAGCAGGGGGGCCTGGGTAGTACTTGGATGGGAGCCCACCTAGGAAGACCAGGTTGTGTAGGCGTTAAAAAAAAAAAAGTCCCACATGCATTTGCCTACAGCCCAATCCTTTTTTTTCCACTAAAAATCCGAAGGAAAAAATATACATGCTAGCATAGAAAACTAGTATCTTTGCATACTGCCTCTCCATTTTTTCTGCTAATGTGTTTTAAAGAAAAACTGGGTTTTCTCTCAAAGTGAGAACATCGACTGTTTCCACGCCGTCCAGATGCAGCGCCGGAGTGCATCATTTGAATTTTGAATCGTTTCTAAAAGAAAGAAACGGAATTTTTGGCGCATCCTGCATTTATGCTTCTACAGTTTCCTCTGGCTGGAATGCCTTTCTTTTCATCCTAGAAAACCCTGCCGACCACCCAGGGTCCAGCCCGCCGTCCCTCTGCTGCGGCCTTCCCCAGGCCCACAGGCCATGCTAACCGGCCTCCCCCCGCCTCACCCCAGGGCGTCTGTGCCCCACACCCCCGACACGGGGCCCTGTGGCGTCTGATGTCTCTCCGCCCTTCCTGCGGACCCTCGTCACCCCAGTCTCCGCTCCACGCATATCTGCTCCTGCGGACATTCATTCATCAGATGTTTGTTTGGCACCTGCCGTTCTCACTGACCGTGTCGCCTGACAGATCACCTGGAACCGCAGGTGTAAAGAGGTCGTCGTGTTCTCCCTGACCGTGTCCGGGGGCCGGAATCCGGGGCAAGGCTCGGCTGGGCCGTGTGCCCGGGGTGGTGCCGGCGGCCGACGTGGCTGTGGCCCCAGAGCCGGGAGCGGGCTCTGCCCTGCTTTCTCGTCGTCAGCGCCAAGTCCCCTCTGTGCGCTGTCTCCACGTGGGGCCACTTTGGGTTCCCTCAAGACGTGCTGGCCTCAGGAGGAGTCGAAATGCGTGCAAGTTCCAGCCAGCAAGCTGGAAGCCACAGACCTCACTTTCCCGCTGGCCACCAGTGGCCCGCCTCACCCCTGGGTTCCCGGAGAGCTCCGAAGCGGGGACTCGGCCATGGCCGCCTCCTGTGCGCCGTGCTGGGCACAGAAGAAGCCGGAGTGGACGAGGCAGACGCGGCCCCGCACTGTGGGTGAAGCAGAAGCGGGGACAGACCACGTAGGCTGGGAAGACGGTTCCTCACCAGACAGGAGGCAAAGTCGATCACACGGGTGGTTTGAGGACGGCCTTGCCGAGGAGTAAACCAAAGGCGGGAAGCAGCCGGTCACAGCGGGAGTGGAAGAAGCTCCTTCTGGAAAGGGGCCCGGACAGGAACCGAGGCCTGCACGCAGGGGGTGACCGGCCTGAGAAGCGGGGGGCCCGTGTGCCTGGGATGCCGTGGGGTGGGGGGCTAGCAGTAAAACACGAGGGGGCGGAGGCCGGAAGTGGTGTCAGACTCATTTTAAATGGAGTTGGGACCACTGGAGGTCTCGAGGTGGCGTGCGCCGTGTCTGCGGACGGGAGGGCCCCGGCCACGCGGCAGAGACGGAGGGGTGGGCGGCAGGCAAAACGGGCGGTGCATCGTGGAGGCGGAGCCCGGTGAGTGTGCCTCGGCTGCGAGCGTCACCCCGGACGGTCACGTGTGGTGACCCGCACGGGCAGCACGCCGGCGTGCGGGATCCAGAACCCTCCGCGCTGAGGTGGGTTTCATTCCTTCCTGGGTAGCGTCTCACGTCTCAAACACACCGATGACTTTATTTATTGCAACTGTTGCTTAGAAATGTATAAAATTGATTTTTTGTGGATTTCCCCTTGGGACTTGCCACTGAGAACGTGGAAAGTGCGGTATTTTCGTGCCTTCTTCCCCTCGCGGAAGCTCTCAGCGGAGTCGGGGGGCTGGGCGGCCGGCGAGGGGCCGCCGTGCTTCTCCGAGGGAGGATCGGCAGGCGGGTCGGTGGTGGTG